ACCCAATTGTTCGGTGAAACTTAATGAAATCACCAGTGACAGGATCTGATAATTATGAGAGAAGCGGCTGATTGACGGAAGGAAACATCTATGGAATTTTTCACTAAAAACGAAATTGATGGCAAAGGAGACATCGAGGGAAAATTTAGTTAATGTGGAAAGAAATTGACAAAGGAAACAAGAAGATCCGGCGGAGCCGCCGGAAAGGCAAAAATCCGATTGAGAAACTTTGGTAACTGTTCGTTGGGCTATCGCAATTGAGAAACTTTGGTAACTGTTCGTTGGTAACGTTAATTATATAAATATCGTTTTGACTTTTCATATTTAAATCAATAATGTCATTTAAAAATAAAATAATAATATGCGTCTAGGTAGAAGCCTAGAACACACTCTACATGTTAGTATTGTTAATTTTTTTTATTTAATTTTTTTTTTCTCATAATATTCAATCACAGAACGAATTCTTTGGCTAATGGACCAACAAAATCACATGGGTTATAAAATAAAGAAACCCAAATCGGAACCCTAGGAAAAAAATGTGACATCCGTCCCGCCACAAAGGATGGGACGGTATGTTATTCATCCGGTTATGCCAAAACGTTTTTTTTTCTCTAAAATTTACCAAAGAACAAACTTCAACCGCAACTCATGAAACTTACTAACCTCGAAAAAGATCAACTCTGTCCACTGGACATACAGTATTCACGTTCCAAACATAAACAACAACCATTACTTAGCATAGATTCAGAAGGTCTATCAATCAAACAAACATACGTTCGTCTTGCTCAGATATTTTACTTTCATTTTTAGTTTTAAGTAGCTTTAACTTGTGGATACTCGAGCCTCTTTTAAATCATGTCTACTCAAGCCTACTTATGGAAGACCACAGTCTGTAGCTCGATCCTTCCCCTTATTGCTCGTCAGCGGTTAATGACTTGTATATGAACCCGTCGGTCCATTACAATCCAGCCTCCTCGAGTATCCTTCACATACTCTTTAGTTTTCTCTTTTCATATATATATGCTTAATCCGGCAGGTGGATCGATCGATCCCAGGCTACTGACATGTGACGAGCTGCAACCAGTGAAGGAGCGATCGATCGATCTCAAGCCCAGATCGATTGATCCGGAGAAAATTATAGAGACATCAGCCACTAACGGTCGATCCCGGCACCGGGATCGATCGATCCAGCATCTAGCTCGTCCGGTGTTCATATTACGGGGTCCAAAGGTAATTAAAAGACTTCAGATACTGCTTTGGAGGAAAGGGAGAGTCAATTAGGGGAAGATAATTTGACTGGTAGAGGGATTAAAGTTAGACAAAGCGAACGGAAAAGAAAACCTCCGGCTCATCTAAGTGATTATGTACTACATACTACACGTTGCTCCGTTGAACAACCCACACTCTCACCGGCACCCACTCAATCAGCGTCCTCTTCTCCAAGTACGGTTCTCTATCCAATTGCTAATTATGTGAGTTGTGACCGATTTTCTGTTTCACAAAAAGCTTTTCTTGCGGATATTACTGCTATTTCGGTTCCTAAGTCATATTCGGAAGCCGTTAAAGATAAGAAATGGTGCAATGCGATGTCTGGATAGGTGAATGCTTTGGAAGCAAATGATACTTGGGATATTACTGATCTTCCACCAGGAAAGAAAGCTATTGGCAGTCATTGGATATTTACTATCAAGTAAGTCGAATGGGGAAATTGAGCGTTACAAGGCTCGTCTGGTGGCCATGGGTAAGAAACAAGTTGAAGGTTTAGATTTTGATGAGACATTTGCTCCGGTCGTGAAGACTACAACTATCCGAGAATTTCTTAAAATTACAGCTGTCAAAGGATGGGAGGCATCAGATGGATGTTCATAATGCGTTTCTACATGGGGATCTTGAGGAGGAGGTTTATATGAGATTACCTGCAGGATTCGTTTCTCAAGATAAATCAAAAGTTTGTCCGCTGAAGAAATCTCTATATGGCATGCGTCAAGCCCCACGATGTTGGTTTGCTAAGCTTACGAAAGCACTCAAAGGCTATAGATTTGAACAGCAAGTAGCGGATTACTTTCTGTTTACCTTGGTGCGTGGTTCTATGTAAGTCTTTTTGTTGGTATATGTTGATGATTTGTTGATTGGGGGAAATGATGTTAAAGGTATTCAGGAGTTTAAGGGATACCTTAGTGAATGCTTCCATATGAAGGACTTGGGGACTATGAAATATATTTTGGGCATTGAAGTATCTCTGTCTCCTGATAGCTTTTACTTGTCACAAAGGAAGTATGCTTTTGGATATTGTAACTGAATGTGGGTTGTTGGGATGTCAACCAGTGTCTACTCCGCTTGAGCAGAACCATAAGTTGTCCGATGATGAAGGAGAGTTTCATGAGGATATCGAGAGGTATAGGAGGCTTGTTGGGCGTTTGGTATATCTTACTTTCACCCGACCAGAATTTTTATATAATGTGCATATGTTGGCTCAATTTATGCAACAACCTCGTGCCAAACATTGGGCTGCAGTTATACGGGTTGTCAGATATTTTAAAGGTTTTCCGGGTCAAGGTATTGTGTTGAGTGTTGATTCTGATTTACAATTGACAGCTTATTGTGATTCAGATTTTTCTACATGTTTCTTATCTGGGAGATCGGTTATAGGCTTTGTTGTTATGTTGAGTGATTCTCCGGTTGTTTGGAAGATAAAGAAACAAGATGTGGTGTCGTTTTCTTCAGCAGAGGCTGAATATCGTGCGATGAGTTTTACTACTCGAGAGTTGAAATGGATCGTGAGCTTTTAGGATGTTTTGGTGTGTCTCATCCGCAAGCGATGCGTTTGTTTTGTGACAATAAGACAGCCTTACATATTGCTGCCAATCCAGTTTTTCATGAGCGGACGAAGCATATTGAGAGGGATTGTCACTTTATCCGAGATAAAATTCAGGATGGTTCACTGGTTACTACACATCTGACCACTACAGAACAACCAGCGGATATCTTTACTAAGGCTTTGGGTTCTCAACAATTTGCTTATTTACGGCGCAAGTTGGGCATGTATAATCTTCATGCTCCAACTTGAGGGGGAGTATTAAGGAGTTATATGTAAATATAGTATAATTTCCAGAGTTTATGTTAATATCTTTAAGTATGTTTAGGATTTCTTGTAACATGTATATATATTCTTTCTTTGATATGAATAAGACACAACATTCTTTTTTTCTCTTTATCCCTTTGACATTAAATTCATTAACAAGGTTTCCCGATTGAACTCGTATGCTACCTCATTTTTATTAAAACCTTAAGTATACACAAGAAGAAAAAATCGAACACTGCTACTCACGTTAACACAAACACATTAGAGACTGTCAGCTTAAAATTTCAGAAACTACAATATGTACAAAGTATTTGGAAAATTTTATATCAAAAGTATACATATTGATGTGTTAAATTTTCTTAAACTATATTCAAACTATTTGGAGGTTTGGTATAAATTTTGATGTGTTACATTTTCTCACAATTTCCAAATGCACGGGAACAATACTACAAGATCAAATTCAGGATCCAACATCAAGTTTAACCTTAAATAAGATTTCTCTACAAATCTTGAATAATAAAGAAAATAGGAGCTATGAGTCTATGATTACCATTCACGAAACTTGACTATACACGTACAAACTAATTAATTTGCGTCGATGCTTTTCCTCATGTCATGTTTCATTGACATTTTTAAAGATGCTCGGGCTTAAACCAACTATATATGGCCAAACTGGCCTGGTAATTCAGATCAACACTTTGAATATTGGGATTCGAGAGGGTCGTTTCGTTTACAAAAGAGAGGGAGAAACAAACAAATTAAAATTGATTTGAATCAAATAAAAACCGGGTGAATATAAACTCATACCTACTATATAAAAACTCGATGTCTTCTGAAGTTGTCAAATCATAATTAACTTTTCTAATAAGAACAAAAAAAAAACAATTCATGACACGTGGGACATGCAAATCCACTACTTGCTCACTAACCAATCTAAAGAACCGATCAACCGCTAATAATTAACTTATAATACTAATTAATTCCTCACTAATAATTAACCTAAAACACCTTCACACACTATCACAAGTACATTCTCCAAGTTATATTTATTTATACATGTATGGATGTCCTTGGCAGGAGATGATCATCTCGATTTGTTTCTCTTTTTTTAAATTAGGAAACAAAAAGCAAAGATGATTATACTTTGAAACACAACAACAATTTCTTCTTTTGGCTCTCATCAGAAAAAAAAAGTGAAAATTTTATAAGCTGCGAATTACATTTTGAGCTTAAATGCTTGGTACTTTTTTTTGTCTTTTTTATATCAAAAGAAGAAAAAGTTTTTTTAAAAAATTCACAAATTACTTCTGTTTTTTGTTCTCTATTGCATCAATACTAAAATTCGTATAAACGTAAAACAGTTTATTATATTTTCATTATTGGTGCTTAAAATAGTTCATGTCAACATCTTTTTTTTTTTTGTTTCATGTATATGGGATGGCACACTATGGCAAAAAATGAACATCGGTGATTCTCTAAAATGTATAAAAATCCTAATTTATTGAATTTAGTATTTGTTAAATTTATTCGAAATCCAAATTTATTGGATTAGTCATATGAAGAATTTTATCAATGAAGTACTGATTAAGAAATATACCATTGTGTTAGGATAGCGAATCTTCGAAAATGTACGGAACACCAAATTATTAGAAAAAGGATTAGAGGGTTCCTAAGTCTTAAGAGTTTAGAAGTTCCTATGTAACAATCTCTATTACAAAATCATTACAAAAAAAAAAGCAATCTTTTAACCCAATGGGTTTGAACACTTTTGTATATTAAGGTGGCCAACAGACAGTTTAATACATCTGGTTAACAAGTTTTGTACGATTTATTCCGACGTATAGTTCAATAGTTGACCAATTGCACACATTTTGAATAATAAACCGAAGAAAAGAAGTAGTGAAATATACGAAATCGGTGGAGAAAAGTCGGATGCTTCATTACTACGGTAAATAGACATGCAGCTTCACTAGTGACTTCGCCTAGGAACAACAACAACCCTAAGCGGATGCTTCATTACTACGGTAAACTCTAGCTTCTCCGTCAAGTCAACTTCATGACCTTCAACCTCTTTCCATTGGAACTCTCTGACCATGTTGGCGACGTAGTACTCAAGGTGCAATATTGCTAGACCTATCCCCGGACATATCCTCCTTCCTGCTCCAAACGGCATCATCTTTATCCCTCTACTTCCGGTTAGGTCCACCGCTTCTTCTCCCATAAACCTCTCCGGCTTAAACGCCATTGGTTCCTCCCACACCTTTGGATCCCTCCCTATCTCTGCTACCAAGAAGTTAATCGTCCCCTTCTTCGGTACTTTATACCCTCCCAAGACAGTGTCCTCCGTGACACTGTGCGGGAGCACAGTGTTTCCCGGAGGGTGTCGTCGGAGACCCTCCAACACTACTGCCTTTAGATACGGCATCTTCTGCGCGTCTTCTTCCTCCACTTCCTTTGCTTCTTCCCCGACTACACTTGTGATCTCCTCGTATAATCTCTCCTGGAGTTCTTGATTCTTCACAAGGTTCGCCATGATCCATTGCAACGCGGTGGCCGTTGTATCAGTCCCACCAGTTAGAAACTCAGAGCACAAACTCACAATTTCATCCTCGTTCAGCTTCCTATTCTCATCTGGAAGTTCCACATCGAGCAGAGTATCAACATATGATTGTACATACTCTTTGTTGTCTTCTTCCTCTAATGATCTCTTTTTCCTCTCTTCCACGATCTTTCTCCGAGAACGAATCAGCGGAAGCAAAACGTCCTGCAGCTCTCTCCGCATCTGGAAAAACTCTTCCCATCTCTTTCGCAAAATCAATTTGGTGAACTTAGGCCAGAGATTGAGGATGTTAAATCTCGTAAAGCCAAGACGCTGTAGTGTCTGAACATATTTCACCTCTTTGATTTGCTTCTCATCAAGCTTATCTCCAAAACACATGAGAACAAGAAGCGCAAACATCGCATAGTAGAGATGATCAAGAACAAGGGTCGGTTCTTCACTTCCGTTCTTACGAAATCGATCAAAAAGGATCTCAAGAACCCAACGCCGCGCGTGAGAATAAGATCTCACCCGCGAAGGGTGAAGAATCTCAGAAGTGAGATTCCGGCGAAGAAGCCGCCACGTAGCTCCATATAAACAAGAGCTGATGGTATGTTGGTTACTCGAAACAATCTTGCTTATTGGAGCCGCCGGTGGACGATCGGCGAAAACGGCACCGTTCAAGACGAGAGCCTGGTGAGCAAGGGAACCATCGGCGACGAAGATGGCGGGGCGGGAAGTGATGCGGAGGGTGATGATAGGACCGAGACGTTGATGGACGGAGCGGACATAGTTGTTGAAACCATCTAAACCTTTCCGGAGCCATTGAAGGGATCCAAGGAAAGGGAAGAAGTTAGGGTCAGGTGGTAACGGAAGAGAGGAGGAGTCACGGCGGCGAAAGAGGAGGAGATTGAGAAGGAGAGAGAGGAAGAGAGAGCCCAAGATAAGTAACCATATCTCCATTTTCTTTTTGTTCTCTTTACTGGTTTTTCTTTGCTTCTTCCTCCTTTTTATACTAGTACGTGTGTGGCTAAATTCGTGTAACAATTTATTATCAGAGCTAACGTGTTATTCAAGCACAAATTAATTTTATGATTTTTTTTTTTTGTGAATCTTAATTTGATGATTGGGCAGTATTATGGCCTGACTGGTCTGGTAATTCAGCTCAACACTTTGAATGTTCGGATTCGAGAGGGTCCTTCCGCTTACAAGAGAGAGTGAGAAACGAACAAATTAAAATTGATTCGAATCAAACAAAAACCGAGTGAATATAAACTCAAACCTAGTAAATATAAAATCGATTTCTTCCGACCTTTTGTCACGCACCATTGTATTTGTGCATTACATTAATGTGTAAAATCAAACAACTTTTATAAAAGGACAAAAAAAGATGATGCATGGTACATGGCACATGCAAATCCACGACTTGCTCACTAACCAATCGAAAGAACCAATCAACCGCTAATAGTAAACTCAAGTCAAATATACTAATCCCTCACTAATAATTAACCTAAAACGCCTTCACACACTTTCACAAGCACATTCTCCAAGTTATATTTGTCTATTCATATACGGATGTCCTTGGAGTAGAAGAGCATCTCAATCGCTACACAAGTAAAGAATAAAGCAAAAATGATTATGATTTGAAAAACAACAACAATTACTTCTTTTGGCTCTCTTTGATTACTTTTCTTTTTGTATTCTGCTTGTTTCGAAAACTGAAGAAAAAAATGGGCCAAAAGATTCACGCTTTTATGTTCCCGTGGTTTGCTTTTGGTCATATGACTCCGTACTTGCATCTAGCCAACAGGTTAGCAGAGAAAGTGTTATAAATTTAAGTGTAAACCGACGGTTATTAAATTAACCATTGCAACTATTCAATTTATGGTTATTATTTAAACGTACGGTTGCAAACGTACGTCACAACTTTTGAACCATATATAAACTTTGTTTCTCTTGTGTCAAAGAAAGAGAAGAAGAGGAGAAAAGAGAGATTCACGAGACTAAAGATTGTCTTAATCTTTAGTGCAAAACACAAAAACAAAACACAAAAAGCTCTATTTGTTTCTCTTGTGTCTTAGCCTAGAACAAGAGAGAACTTTGATTGTCTTATCCTAGAAGGGATTTCGTGTAACCCAAGGCTCGAGAAGGGTCGAAATACTCTTTAAGGAAAGTGCTCTCGTGCGCGATTCAATCTCTATCCAAGTTCACGTTCGTTACGTCCCGGAGATACAACGTCGATACACAACAATCTTAAAGAGTATTTACGGTGAACAATGGCTAATGTTTCTGTGCGTGAGATGACGTCAAAGTTTGGCAAATTGGATAAGTTTGAAGGAGTTGATTTTAGAAGATGGCAAAAGAAGATGCACTTTCTCCTCACAACGCTCAATGTGGTTCACGTTCTAAGTGTGCCAATGCCCACCGTGTCGGAGAATGGTGAGAACGAGTCCGTGGAGGAGACAAGGAAGCAACTTAAGTGGGAAAACGATGACTACATATGTCGTGGCCACATTCTCAACGGTATGTCTGATTCTCTCTTTGATGTCTATCAAAATGTCGAATCCGCAAAGGAACTATGGGATGCGTTGGAATCGAAGTACATGGCCGAGGATGCTTCTAGTAAGAAGTTCCTTGTGAGTGATTTTAATAATTACAAGATGTCCGATTCAAGGCCGGTAATGGAGCAATACAATGAATTACTTCGCATCCTAGGCCAATTCGCTCAACACAACATGAAGATGGATGAATCCATCTCGGTGTCGTGTATCATCGACAAGTTGCCGCCTTCGTGGAAAGATTTTAGGCGCATGTTAAAACACAAAAAGGAAGAGTTGTCTCTTGTACAACTTGGTAGCCATTTGCGCATAGAGGAATCTCTAAGGGTGCAAGAGGGTGGAAAACCCAAAGATAAGGAGGCTGAAACTTCTTCAATCAATATGATGGAGGAGAGTGGGAGTTCTAAAATAAAGAACAAGGGGAAGAAGCGCCCCTTTACTAACAACACCAATGATGGATCTAACAAACAATTCAAGAGCGTTTGTTGGATTTGTAACAAGCCGGGTCACTTCAAACGTGATTGTCGGGCAGCAAAGGATAAGAATAAAACGCAACAAAACCGTTTTGGGCAAGGGTCTAAGGATCAAGGCCCATCCTCTCATCAAGGTCAGAATTTTGTTTTTGATTCATACTCAAAAGTGTATTATGTATCAAAAATAGCTGAGGCATTCTATGTGCAGGATGATGAGGTGGCATGGTGGATTGACTCGGGTGCAACAATACATGTTTGCAAGGATCGTGGCTGGTTCAAGACGTACGAGCCGGTTCAAGATGGATCTGTACTTTATATGGGCAACGAGTCAACCGCTCCTATCCTAGGTCGTGGAAAAGTGGTGTTAAAGTTTAGTTCCGGGAAAACTCTTGATCTTAATGATGTAATTCATGTACCCGGAATTAGGAAAAACTTAGTCTCCGGTAGTGTTTTAAATAAGTGTGGATTTAAACAAGTGTATGAGTCAGATAAGTATGTCTTATCTAAGTGTGGTATCTTTGTTGGATTTGGATACTTTTGTAATGGCATGTTTATGCTTAATATTAATAAAGTTGTCAATTCTATTTACATGGCATGTTCTAGCAAAAATGATACTTCTTTATGGCATGCAAGATTAGGCCACGTGCATTATAAAAGAATGATTGATATGTCTAAAGAAGGGTTAATTCCTACTTTTGACGTGAATATAGAGAAGTGTAGAACATGCATGTTGACTAAGATAATTAGACAACCTTTTAAAAGCATTGAAAGAAATTCAAAGGTGCTTGAACTTATTCATAGTGACTTATGTGACTTACATGCTACACCATCTTTAGGAAACAAGAAATATTTCATCACGTTCATAGATGATTATTCTCGTTTTTGTTATGTATATTTATTACATGCTAAAGATGAGGCCTTAGATAAATTCAAGGTTTATAAAACCGAGGTTGAATTACAACATAGTGACTTGGTTAAGAAGTTACGCACGGATAAAGGTGGGGAGTATTATGATCCTACGTATTTTCAGTCTGTGGGCATAATACATGAGACTACGGCTCCGTATACGCCACAACAAAATGGTATATCCGAGAGGAAAAATAGAGTTCTAAAAGAAATGGTTAATTCCATGTTATCTTACTCGGGATTAAGTGACGGATTTTGGGGTGAAGCCATGTTAACGGCTTGTTATTTATTAAATAGAGTTCCCAACAAAAGGAACAAAGTTACTCCATATGAACTTTGGTATAAAAAGAAACCAAACTTGAACTATCTGCGAGTTTGGGGCTGTAGGGCGATCGTTAGATTACCCCAACCAAAGATTAAGACTTTGGGAGAAAGAGGTATTGATTGCATCTTCATTGGTTATGCCTTGCATTCCAAGGCATATAGGTTTTATGTCATAGAACCTAATGATTCTATAGCGGTTCACACCGTAATTGAGTCAAGAGATGCAATATTTGATGAGAATCGTTTTTCATCGATACCTAGACCAAAGGATTTAGTTCCTAGTTCAAGTGGAACAAAGAAAAGAGACGACATGTTCGTTCCTCCTAACGAGTCACCTACGCTTCGTAAGAGTAAACGAGGGAGAATCGAAAAATCTTTCGGTCCCGATTTTCAACTTTACTTAGTTGAAGGGTCAAGAGATGAGATTGGTTTTCAATACTCATATTGTTATCATATTGATGATGAACCTAGAACTTTTAGTGAGGCTATGACGTCTAATGACGTTATTTTTTGGAAAGAAGCCGTAAATGATGAAATGGATTCCATCATGGGAAATAATACGTGGTTCTTAACGGATCTTCCACCCGGTTGCAAGCCTTTAGGATGCAAATGGATCTTCAAGAAGAAGATGAAAGTCGATGGAACGATCGACAAATTTAAGGCTCGGTTGGTTGTTCAAGGTTTTAGACAAAAGGAAGGCATTGATTATTTTGATACATATGCTCCGGTTGTTAGGATCTCCTATATAAGGTTATTAATTGGTTTGGCATCCATTCATAACCTTGTGATCCACCAAATGGATGTCAAGACGGCATTCTTAAATGGCGTCTTGGAAGAAGAGGTGTATATGAAACAACCCGAAGGGTTTGTTATGCTTGGTAATGAACATAAGGTGTGTAAGTTGGTAAAGTCATTATATGGTCTAAAGCAAGCACCTAAACAGTGGCATCAAAGGTTTGATGAGGCTGTCTTGTCAAATGGGTTTAAATTAAATCAGTCGGACAAGTGTTTGTATAGCAAATTTGATGATTCCGGTAATGGAGTGATCATTTGTTTATATGTTGATGACATGTTGATCTTTGGTACCAACCTTAGACAAGTAGAACTTACAAAGGAGTTCTTATCATCAAATTTTGCCATGAAAGACATGGGGGAGGCGGAGGTGATTCTTGGAATTCGAATCAAGCGTGAGAACAAAGGAATATCTTTAACTCAATCACATTACATTGAGAAAGTGCTTAAAAAGTTCAATTATGAAAATTGTTCTCCCGTGAGCACTCCCATGGATGCGAGCGTGAAGCTTATGCCTAATACGGGACAAGCGGTATCACAACTCGAGTATTCACGAGTAATTGGTTGCTTAATGTATGCCATGACTAGCACTAGACCGGATATAGCTTATGCGGTAGGAAAGTTGAGTAGATATACTAGTAATCCTAGTACTCATCATTGGCAAGCTGTAAGGCGGGTGCTCAAGTACTTGAAAGGAACCATAAATTATGGTTTGTCATATTTTGGATTTCCTTCGGTCTTAGAAGGATATTCGGATGCAAGTTGGAACACCAACGAGGAAAATCATTCTTCTACAAGTGGTTGGGTGTTCCTACTTGGGGGAGGTGCCATTTCATGGGCATCAAAGAAACAAACTTGTATTACAAATTCTACTATGGAATCGGAATTTGTAGCGTTAGCGGCTGCAGGGAGAGAGGCGGAATGGTTAAGAAACTTAGTCTCCGAGATTCCATTGTGGCCGAAACCGGTGTCACCCATTTCTATCCATTGCGATAGTAAAGCTACTTTGGCTAAAGCTTATAGCCAAGTGTATAACGGTAAGTCGCGACACCTAGGCTTGAGACATAGCGGGATACGTGAGCTGATCACTCATGGGGTGATTACTATAGGATTTATTCGGTCTGAGCAAAATCTAGCGGATCACTTGACAAAAGGACTAGCTAGAGACTTGGTGATCAAGTCGGCTAAAGGGATGGGATTAAAGTCCATTTGAAATCTCTAATGGTGGGATACCCAATTCCCCTCTAATACAACGTTAGAGGCTGAATTCAATGCGGAAAGCCCACACTTAGAGATTGAAGCACTAGTTTAAATCATCCCAAAGTAAGTGCTTAGATCTGCAAGAAAAGGTTAGGTTGAAGTTTTCTTCTTAATAGATCTTTTGAAAAATTGCATTTTGCAGGTGCAAGATTAAAAGATCTACCTATATGGGTGTGAAGTGTAGCCGCTTCAAGAAGCTCGGACTTGGCTTTGTACACACTCATGAAAGGATAAGGACACATGGCTTATAATAGTGTCAAGGATAAACACTTAGAGTAGTGAGTGAATTCGTGTGTGTATTATCTTCATGTGCTCAAAATGAGTTGAAGGATTCAATCCGTAGGACATCTTGATTCTCGAGCATTTGGAATGTGTAATATTACTAAGATGTAAATTCAATCGTTACGATATTTACATTTATGCATGAGTTTGGTTTATGTGTTGTTAATTTTGTGAATCAAAGATTACACTTAAATGGGGGAGGAATGTTATAAATTTAAGTGTAAACCGACGGTTATTAAATTAACCATTGCAACTATTCAATTTATGGTTATTATTTAAACGTACGGTTGCAAACGTACGTCACAACTTTTGAACCATATATAAACTTTGTTTCTCTTGTGTCAAAGAAAGAGAAGAAGAGGAGAAAAGAGAGATTCACGAGACTAAAGATTGTCTTAATCTTTAGTGCAAAACACAAAAACAAAACACAAAAAGCTCTATTTGTTTCTCTTGTGTCTTAGCCTAGAACAAGAGAGAACTTTGATTGTCTTATCCTAGAAGGGATTTCGTGTAACCCAAGGCTCGAGAAGGGTCGAAATACTCTTTAAGGAAAGTGCTCTCGTGCGCGATTCAATCTCTATCCAAGTTCACGTTCGTTACGTCCCGGAGATACAACGTCGATACACAACAGAAAGGTCATAGGGTTACTTTCTTGCTACCTAAGAAAGCTCAGAAACAATTGGGACATCAGAATCTGTTCCCACATGGTATTGTCTTTCATCCTCTTACTATACCTCATGTTGATGGCCTCCCTGCTGGTGCCGAGACAGCCTCGGATATCCCCATCTCTTTGGTGAAGTTTTTGTCTATAGCCATGGATCTTACACGCGATCAGGTTGAAGCCGCGATTCTTGCCTTGAGACCAGACCTGATCTTGTTCGATTTAGCTCAATGGATTCCAGAAATGGCTAAAGCTCATAAAGTCAAGAGTATGTTGTACAACGTGATGTCAGCTACCTCCATTGCTCACGACCTTGTCCCAGGAGGTGAACTAGGAGTTCCTCCACCTGGTTATCCTTCATCAAAGGCGTTGTACCACAAACACGATGCTCACGCATTGCTGACCTTCTCCGGCTTCTACAAGAGGTTTTATCATCGGCTCACCACAGGTCTTATGAATTGCGATTTCATTTCGATTAGGACATGCAAAGAAATCGAAGGTAAATTCTGTGACTATATCGAGCGTCAATACGAGAAGAAGGTTCTCTTAACCGGTCCAATGCTTCCTGAGCCAGACAAGAGTAAACCACTTGAAGATCAATGGAGTCACTGGCTGAGTGGGTTTAGACAAGGCTCTGTACTGTTCTGTGCATTGGGAAGCCAAACCACTCTAGAGAAAAACCAATTCCAAGAACTCTGTTTAGGAATAGAGCTTACAGGTTTACCGTTTCTTGTCGCGGTAAAGCCACCAAAAGGCACAAAGACAATTCAAGAAGCGTTACCAGAAGGGTTCGAGGAAAGGGTGACCGGTCGTGGAATGGTTTGGGGAGAATGGGTGCAACAACCATACTGGCAACCATTGATATTGGCTCATCCATCAGTAGGCTGCTTTGTGAGCCACTGCGGATTCGGGTCAATGTGGGAATCTCTAATGAGTGATTGTCAAATAGTCTTTATTCCAGTTTTGAATGATCAAGTTCTCACCACTAGATTATTGACTGAAGAACTCGAGGTCTCCGTTGAGGTACAAAGAGAAGAAACAGGATGGTTCTCAAAAGAAAACTTGAGTGGTGCAATCATGTCTTTGATGGACAAAGATAGCGAGATAGGGAACCAAGTGAGAAGGAACCATTCCAAATTGAAGGAAACTTTGGGTAGTCCTGGATTATTAACCGGTTACACCGATAAGTTTGTTGACACTTTGGCGAATCTAGTCAACGAGACAAATCTTGAATGAAATATCTTACGTACAAAGGATTACGTTACGGCTGTGTTTCGAATAAGTCAATGATATGTACCATTGTATCTTCTCAAGACATTACTTTAATTTACATTAATTGTATTATTGTAAAACAAGACTCTCTTATAAAGGACAAAAGATAACTTTGCGCAAGTCACATGGCACATGCAATCATTAACTTAAACTATATTAACTTGAAGCACCAATCAACCACTTATAATTCACTCAAAATACTAATCCCTCACTAATTAATATATAACCTAAAGCACCCTTCACACACTTCTAGTAACAAAAAGAAGAAAGTCATAGATGCTTAAAAGTTTAAACACAACAAAAGTTTTATTCTTATTGTTGTGCACTTATTGCTCAAGAAGCTTAAATTTTTGTGTTCTTTATGCTTTGAGAAAAACAAAGATGCTTAATGTAATGTATTTTGTCAAGTCAAGACATAACATTACATTAATGTGTAAATTAAACAAACATGGCACATGCAACGCAGCAGTTTCCCCATCACCACGAATAATTAACGTAACCCACATATCACAGCTAATATTAACTTAAAATACTAATCCACTATTAGTAATTAATCCACGAAGCGTACGCTTCAGACAGTTTCACAAGCTAAATATAGGGATGTCCATTGGAGGGGAAGAGCATAGTAAAATTACTTCTAAGCAAAACTGCTCATGATTAGAAATAGAACAGAAATTTCCTCTTTTGGCACTTTATATTTTTGTGTTGATCTTGTTTCGAATATTTTGGGAACGAAAGATGGGCCAAAAGTTTCACGCCTTTATGTTCCCATGGTTCGCTTTTGGTCATATGACTCCATACTTGCATTTAGCCAACAAGTTAGCTGAGAAAGGTCACAGAGTCACTTTCTTGCTCCCCAAGAAAGCTCAGAAGCAGCTTGAACATCTCAATCTGTTTCCAGACAGCATCGTCTTTCACCCTCTTACTATGCCTCATGTTGATGGTCTCCCGGCTGGAGCCGAGACTTTCTCGGATATCCCTATGCCGTTGTGGAAGTTCTTGCCCCCAGCTATAGATCTCACACGCGATCAGGTAGAAGCCGCGGTTCATGCCTTGAGACCGGACCTGATATTGTTCGATCTTGCTTCATGGGTTCCAGAAATGGCTAAAGAGTATAGAGTCAAGAGTATGTTGTACAACATCATATCAGCTACATCTATAGCTCATGACTTTGTCCCAGGCGGTGAACTAGGAGTTCCTCCACCTGGTTATCCATCATCAAAGTTGTTGTACCGCAGACACGATGCTCACGCCTTGTTGTCCTTCTCCGTCTACTACAAGAGGTTTTCTCAGAGGCTCATCACAGGTCTTATGAATTGTGATTTCATTTCAATCCGGACATGTAAAGAAATCGAGGGTAAATTCTGCGAGTATATTGAGCGTCAATACCATAAAAAGGTTTTCTTGACAGGTCCAATGCTTCCTGTGCTAGAAAAAAGTAAACCACTTGAAGATCGATGGAGTCATTGGCTGAACGGGTTTGGACAAGGCTACGTAGTGTTCTGTGCATTGGGAAGTCAAATCTCTCTAGAGAAAGACCAATTCCAAGAACTTTGTTTAGGAATAGAACTTACAGGTTTACCGTTTCTTGTAGCGGTAACTCCACCAAAAGGCGCAAAGACGATTCAAGAAGCGTTACCAGAAGGGTTCGAGGAGAGGGTAAAAGATCGTGGAGTGGTTTGGGGAGAATGGGTGCAACAACCATTAATATTGGCTCATCCATCAGTAGGCTGTTTTGTGAGCCATTGCGGATTCGGGTCAATGTGGGAATCTCTAATGGGTGATTGCCAAATAGTCTTGCTTCCATTTTTGGCTGATCAAGTTCTCAACACAAGATTGATGACCGAAGAACTCGAGGTTTCGGTTGAAGTGCAAAGAGAAGAAACAGGATGGTTCTCGAAGGAGAGCTTGAGTGTTGCGATCACATCTGTGATGGACCAAGGTAGCGAGATCGGGAATCTGGTGAGGAGGAACCACTCCAAATTGAAGGAGGTTTTTGTTAGTGATGGATTATTGACCGGTTATACCGATAAATTTGTTGACACATTGGAGAATCTAGTCAGCGATACAAATCTTGAATGAAATACTACACTTGCAAAGAAGTACGTAGCTGCTGTTTCACATAAGGCAATAATAGGCTAGACCACGAAGCAGTTGGTAATGATGGCTTTGTTCAATTTTTTTTTTCTTTTCAATTCATCATCTCTTTAGCAATATGTTTTCCTTTACACCTTTTAACATTGGAAAATTTTCCATAAGAAAAGAAAGTAAGGAGCTGTACTCTCCTTGAAATTACACAGAAAAAGAAAGTGGAAATTTTATATGCTGCCAGTTAAATTTTTTGAGCTTAACTCTGCTTGACAATTTTAGTTTTCTTTTAACCAAATAAAAAAGAAAATATTTTAAAGAAAATTCCACAATTTATTTATAAATGGTTCTATATATTTTCACAATTGACGATTAAAATATTTTTAAGTCAAGATCCTTCCTCTTTTAGGTTCATGTATATGGGGGGATGGCACAACCTGGCAGAAATGTATAATTGACACGTAAAATTTGGTGATTCTCTAAAATGTATGAAAACCCTTATTTTATTTTTTTGTCATCCGAAATTAATTAGAGCTCAAAAGAGCCATTCCTGGGGAATGTTGTTTACATATGTGATATGAAGCGGTTCTGTACGAATTTTTCATGCCAGATTATCCGCTTTTACATTAGCATTATGAGAAATTAAAGATAAAGAGAAGGGTGAGAATTCTTCCTTATCGCTCTGGAATTCCTCCAAGTACACTGAAAACGCCGGCCATTCGGTTGGAGAAGACACCTTCTTCACCAGATCAGAACAGTCTGTAATGAAAGCTACCTCTTGATTATCTGCACCAATCATACACTTCATCGCCCAGAGAAGAGCCTCGAATTCTGTATGCAATGGAGATAGACTTCTACGGAGGTTGGCAGCTCCCATGGTTGGCGGCTCTCTGTTTGATGATGTACAGAACCATCTTATACCGGAGAACTTATCACTTTCTTTCCACGATCCATCCACAAAGCAACGTCATCCAGAATAATTCGAATCAAGTGAAGCATCCCCCACTCGAGAACGAGTTACCAATTCCACAGTACCATTAGTTCCATGATGAAGCTCGATTTGGGCTGACTGCCACAATTGTGCTTCTTTTTCCGCTAATCGTAATACCTCTAACGGATCTTTATCATTATTTTCAGAGATTTTTTCATTCCTTGCTTTCCAAATATACCAGATAATCCATGGAAAGGCTGAAGAATCAAATTCCGAAGGTATTCTCCAAAATAAGTGGTCCAAATTCGCAAAAATAGATTCTGTTGGAAAAATTCTCATTGCCGTAGGAATCTGGGAAAGTGCCCAAACCTGTCGTGCCGGGTGGTACTGAAAGAGTGTATGATTGATTGTTTCCACTGGTTCGCCACATCTGGCACAACCTGTGTCACAATCAATTCCCCTTCTCCGCAAATTTTCCGTAACTGGTACACAACCCTTTAAGATTTGCCACAAGAAATGACGTATCTTAGGTGGATATTGCACTTGCCAAGAATGTGCTTTTAACGGTTTGATGTCTTGGCCTATCAAAGATAAATTGGTCTCCAAATTTTCTAACCTTATGGTATGATATCCCGATTTGACTGTATTTAGTATTTGTTAAATTTATTCGACATCTAAAGCTACTCGATTAGTCATTTGTAGAATTTTATCAATGAATAACTAATTAAGAAATATATCATTGTGTTAGGATAGCGAATCTTCAAAAAAAGTATGGAACACAAAATATTGTAAAAGGATTAGAGGGTTCCTATAAGTCTCAAGAGTTTTGAAGGTCCTATGTACCAATCCCTAGTACAAAATCTCAAAACTAAAATCTAATAATAATAACAATCTCAAGAAATGCTTTTTCAAAATCTGAACAGTTGTGTATTTTTGTCGCAACTTTTCGTTAATTTTTTTAATAACTATAAAATATAATTTATGATTGTATTTTAAAAAAAAATTGTATCTGTTCAGTTTTTAACTATAAAAAATCTGAACAGTTGTGTCTTTTCGTCGCAACTTTTCGTTAATTTTCTTAATAGCTACAAAATATAATTTGTGGTTGTGTTTTCATAAAATTTGCTTGTATTCAGTTTTTAACTATAAATTTTTTGAACAGTTGTGTCTTTTCGTCGCAACTTTTAGTTAAGTGTCTTTTTTAATAACTATAAAATACAATTTATGGTTGTGTTTTTTTAAAACAAAGCTGCATCTATTCAATTTTTAGCTATGAAATATAAATTTATGGTTTTTTTTTAGAAAGTTGCATATGTTCAAAGGTTGATACGGTTCGTCAAATAAACTTTTTCATTTTACGGTTGTGAAAAATTGCATATGATCAATTTTTAACTATACAATATAAATTTTATGGTTTTCTTTTTTTTAGAAAGTTACATTTGTTCAAAAGTTGCATTTGTTCAAAAGTTGCAACGGTTTATCTTTTAATAACTATAAAATATAATTTATGGTTGTTTTTTTCTTAAGTTGCATCTGTTCAATTTTCAATTATATAATATAAACTTTATGGTTTGTTTTTAGAAAGTTGCATCTATTCAAAAGTTACAACGGTTCATCAAATAAACCTTTTATTTTACGGTTGTATCTTTATAGTTGCATCTATTCATTTAAAGTTATGTCTCTTCATTATATTGCATCATTTATTTGTCATAATTTTTCGTTCCAATATAGTATTTATTAAATATTCATGACTTTTAAACTCTATATATTTGGTCCTCTTTAGAAATAGAAATATTTGTCAAAAATTATTGTTATTTTACTCAAATTATTTGTTTCATGATGAATCCAAATAATTTGATCTGCAAAACCACTCAAAATTCTTTACTCTTCAAACTATTTCTAAACATACATCATTTGAAATTTAGAGAAATTCCTCTAATTCTTGATCGAACTAAAATTTTTTGGAATGATTATAAGAATATAGAAACTTTAATCAACCTTAAATATAAAATTTTAATGAAGATGCCAACAATTTTCTAAGCCAAAATATTTTGAGTAATCATAATAATTTTTTTTTCTAATCAACATTTAGTTTATTTGATAAATTATTACAATTTTAGGAATATTTGATGAACATTTGCAACATTTTTCCTTTATAAAAGATTTTTGAGAGCATTAATTAAAGTTAAATCTGTTCATTTGGACTTGTATTATGTCACTATGTTTTATTCGTGTTTTCTCATCACAAATTTTTAGTTCCAATAATTATGTCTTTTACGAACAGTTTTTCTATTTAAACTTTCATGTCTTTTTAATTCAATATATATATATATTTTTTAGAAAGTTGTATATATTTATTATTATTTTTTGTTTGATACTTTTTCATATAAATTTGTATTTTTTTGCTATCTAGCATTCATATGTATATATTTTGTTATATATATATATATTTTTTAAATAACTATCAATTGTGTTTATTTAGTTAATTTTTTCCGAGGATTGTCTCTCTTTAACATAACACAATTTAAAGTATTGCGTATTTTATCATAATGTTTTGTTGAATATATATTTATATAATTATGTTTAGAATTGTTTAAAAAATTGAAAAAGTACGTCTACTCATTATAACTCTTTGTTTAATATTTTTTTGTTTATGATTGCATCGTTTCACCATAATATTTTTCAATAATAATATAAATCTTAATAATTGCTTATGAGGGTTTCGTCTCTTTATCATATTTTTTTGTAAAATATATCTTGATTTTTTGTTAAATTTTTGTTTTTTTTTTAAGTTATCTCAATTCAATTTTTCGTTTGGTATGTTTCTCTTTAAAGATTTTTGAAATATTTTCCCCCGCAACATCGTGGAGGTCTGAATCCTAGTTATGATATACTAAAAGCATTTTTTTAAAACATATTTTTGTAAATTATAAAAAGTACTAAACGAAAAATTATGCATTCGTTCGAATCATAGGATTGTTATTACCTACGTTGCACGGAAGCTTCACCGGAGCTCCGATTCCCGCTTCGGAACCGGAAACGGAATCGAAAGCGCCCGAAATCGCTCGGAAGCGCAACGGAATCGCGGTTCCCAGAAAACAGGATTTGGAAGCGTAGGAGAAGCGTACGGTTCAGGTTTGGGAGCACACAAATAGTTGAACTGGAAGCGTCTGAATTTTTTTCACATGAATCTGTGTAGATAGTTTAGATCTGAGTATATTCCATGGAAATCTATGCGTTTTGAGGTTGAATCTGAAAAACATAGAGGCAACTCTACTGTACGGCGGTGCAAGGGAAAGTAACGAAGAAGAAGATCAATTAGGTTTTCTAAATTTACACATGGCTTTTAATTTTTAAAAATATAGTGTTTAATCGATATTTAATAATGAGATACTGTATATGCCATACTCTACGATCTACATAATGATGGGAATATACAGTGTATCTCTAATTTGGTCTACAATTCAATTTTGGTGTATATATGTTTCTAAATTTTTTTTAATAAATGCTAAGAATTTAAAAATAATTACAAATTTTAGTTGAGTTTAGATGTTGGTATTTACGTATCTCTTTATCTATATTTTATTATGAATAATTTCAGCTATGAAATTTTGAATTATTCACTATACAATTAAATTTGACATATATATATATATATATATATATATATATATATAATGCTAAGTTTATAAAAACTCAAAGAATTTCTTCTTTGCTTTAACGCCTATTTTTTTAGGTTTTGAAATTTCGTTTTTAACTAATTTATTCTTATATGATTATTATCATGATTATAATCTAATTTATTCTAAATGATTTTATGTTTGGTATTTTATGATATATATATATTAATACATATATGTATACGCTTCCAACACGTACCCGATTCCTAAATATTTTTAAAAACTCGCTTCTACGCTTCCAAACGCTTCCGCTTCCGCGTACCCGCTTCCGATTCCATGGAGCTTAGGTTATTACTATATAGATTAAACCAAATATGTGATTTTATGGCTAGAGCACGTAACATCATTAGCAAGTTGCATTTTAGAATAGAAATATCTGTTTTACTTTTTTTTTTTAGTTTTACTTTAAGGTGGCCAACATAAACTTGAATACAAACGGTCAGCATGATTTATTCCAACATACTATACTAAAAATCTAGTTCCATAGTTGTCTCCACCAAACAGAGTTCACACATTTTGAATATTAACCCGAAGAAAAGAAACAGAGGACGACTAGTCCTGACTTCTCCTAGGAACAGCAAAAGCCTTAAGCGGATGCTTCATGACGACGGTAAACTCAAGCTTCTCCGTCAAGTCAACTTCGTAACCTTCGACCTCTTTCCATTGGAACTCGCTGACCATATTGGCGACATAGTACTCGAGATGCAACAGAGCTAGCCCTATACCCGGACATATCCTCCTTCCTGCTCCAAACGGCATCATCTTTATCCCTCTGCTTCCCGTTAGGTCCACCGCTTCGTCTTCTCCCATAAACCTCTCTGGCTTAAACGCCATTGGTTCTTCCCACTCCGCTGGATCCCTCCCTATTTCTGCAACCATGAAGTTGATCGTCCCAT